TCTCATAGGCAGAAGTTTGTCTGATTGGCTAATAAATTCAATTTAATTTTACATTATTTATTCAGTTTAGAGTACTTTTAAAAAAAAACGAAAACTAATCTTAATGAAATAAAAAATGCTGTATAGAAGGTTTCATTAGAGCTGTAGGACTCCATAGCCAAAAATAAGATCTAATTCTCGTCCGTTTAAAAAAGTTAGTATATTAATAACTTCTCAAAACCCGATAAAATCAACTTAATACTAACCTAATTTTTTTAAACGGGCGAAAATTAGATCTTATTTTTGGCTATGGAGTCCTACAGCTCTAAGAAACCTTCTATATAGTTTTTTTTTTTACTTTATTATAATTGGTTTTCATTTTTTTAAAAAAAGTATTCTAAACTGTATAAATGATGTAAAATTAAATTGAATTTATTAGCCAATCAGACGAATTTCTGCCTATGAGGTGCAGTCACGTGGCAAATTAATAATTAAACTTTGATTAATAATACTAGTATCGATATATTTTGAATGATTAGTAATAATAAGAATTAAGTCGGAAAGTCATATGGTTGAGCCTTCGATTATTGACATTATTACGTTTTTTATATGGTGACGAGTAGAGATGGTACGTACGTACGTACCATAAATTATAATACGTGACGATTAAGCACCATGCTGCATAGTGCCCATCTCTAGTGAGTGTTTTTAACCTGGTTGTAATATAATATATAGGTTGTACATTGGAATGGAATTATTGTGGATTTAGAATCCATCTAGGTTGATTCCAGATAAATATAGGTTGCATTAGAATTCTAAAATGTGCCCAAGTCGTTAGAGAATTTCAATTCAACTTACAATAAAGTTAAGTGTATTCCAAATTATTTCATCGAGTATATTGTTTTGGAATTTAAGTCGTTTTAAGATAGAATCTATTTATAACACGGCTCATTGTAAATTAGTGAGATGGCAACTACTTTCATAGGGTACTTTCATTTTTTTATATTTACAATAATTTTTGTCACGCGTTTTATAATTGCATTTAATATTATCTATGTACTTGTGAAGTGGGTTGCATAAAAGACGTGTCTCGGACGCTTTTGAGCTATAGTCATAACGAACTTAAGATTCTGGGGGGAAATCGTTATAGAAAATTACTAAGTTTTCTAAAATTTCAGAATTTGAGTTTGTTATATCCAGAGTCGACTATACTATTTAATTTTGGAAACTTATCAGAACCAATGGAAGAAATTTATTGGAATTATACTAATTCTAATAATGCAGAATTTTATTCTAGTTTATATGTGTCATTCTCCAAAACTTTGAGGATCTTGCAGGGGAGTGTCTTTCGATCGTTGTCTTGTATCTGCTGGATCGTGTAAAACCTTAATACAAAAATCAAAGTCTTCATGGTTTTACGTCGACTATTTGTTGCTAAGATATTTGTAAAGAAATTCATCGAATGCATTATAGGCACAAATAGATAATCGAAATTCGGTCATTCAGGTAGAGTCTTGCAAAGAACGAAAAAGTGAAATGAAAACAAGAAAGTACAGTATAAAAATTATATTTTATCTTGACAATTTATCACAACGATAGATGTAATTTATTTAACTATCGTTGCGTCAATCGTTTAAGCATTTATTTCAGCAGTATCGAATTTGAAAATCAACTTAAGGCGCTATTAAATTTATCGATATTACAGTATCAAATTTAGAATTACAGTAACTTAAGTTGCCTTTAAAATTCGTATCAACTTGAGTTACATTTGGAATTCCATTCCAATCTAAGTTGATTCTAAATCTACAATAATTCCGTTCTGACGTACAACAATAGTATAGCTTTGATGATCACTGGGTGCCTTTTCTAGTTTCATATTGATAACAATCACTGTCATAAAGATAAATCATTCTAGTGGTATATTAATTGAAGTTTATATTATTTCGGGAAGGAATGCAGGTTTTGAAAGATTATCATTAATACTCACTAATTTTCAATTTTAAAAAAAGGGTCCAGTTTTTTCGCGCACCTGCACGGCAGTGCATCCCCCTAATTAGCCAATTAAAATGCAAAATTGTTGTATTACGTTACACTAATTTAAAAAAAAAACAACAAACCCTAAAATCCGATAGGGGATGCACCGCAATGCAGGTGCGCAAAAAACATTTTCCCTTAAAATAATATCAGTTATGTATAAAAGCTACTTTTTATGAAATACATATTACGTATTACAAAAACTGCAAATCAACACAGGAACGACAAATATTACATTTATATTTACTCAAACATAAGTTTTTACTACGTACTGTACACTTTGACAATTAATAAATAAAATAAAAGAAAAAAACACGTAATAATAAATATTTTTTTGTTATATTTTTTAAGGAAATATTATTATAGTGCTATAATGCATAGTGCTACTCTATATATAAATACAAAATTGGTGTAACATATAAATCAAAACAATCTAATCTTTACAAAAAATAAAACTTATAATTAGGTTTAGATTAAAGGTTAGGCAGAGTATAGTTTATACAAAGATTTTGCAAGAAATTTTTTTTATTAGAACGCAAAAGATGGTTTTTTAAGTAAAATTTTGAGATAACTAATTTTTTAAAATTTATTGTTTTTGCTACACAAAGGGGTGTTCTGCATATTACACTTTTAATTGGTTACAATACCCTAGCACCATAATGCTATATCACTATAAAATAAATACCATTTTTTTATGCCGAATTGTAACCCTTAGATTTAGAAATTCGTTATGCCAAGCTTTAACGTATTATAAATCCTAAACTAACCATAAACATTCCGGATCACCTAGGACATGTGTAAATTAAATTTGCTTGATAAAAGTAATTATTTAAAAGCCCACGTACGTACTTTAAATGTGTATTAGGAAAATGAAAGTTAAGACATCATTAAGGCCGGCTATATATATTTTTGCGGGATTTATATTACTTCTTTTTATTCTTTGGGGCAAATTCTGCCTTGATCCAAAGGAAATTGAAGAAATAACATTAGAACAAGGCATCGAGATAAATCAAAAAGATTTTGGTGCCAATGAAAGTAAATTTTTATTCACGTATACTGTTGAAGAGCAAGAATCTCAATCCAATAGACATTTTGACACTATCATACAAATTGCGCAACTAATGAACCGCACAGTGGTGTTAACAAATGTTGGAGGATCTCGTATATCATCAATTAAGGATTTTCCTTTTGACTTCTATTATAACATAGATGAATTAAGAAAAGAATTTCCACAAGTAAAAGTTATTTTACAACATGAATTTCAAAAATGGGCCAAAGAGCGGCCCAATAAATTAGATACCATACATGTATCGCTTGAAAATT